TCCTTTGTACCCTCCTTAACACCCGTACCACTGCAAATCCACTATGCTATTGGTTGGGGGGGGGAAGGGGTCTGGGAATTTTTCCGCTGCTTTCATGGGGATTGAGGGGTCTACCGTGGTCCACTCTTGAAAGCTCAGTCGATTCTGTCTCCCCTAGAGCTTCCTAACCCGAGAGTTCAACTCAAGAAAATTCACAAGCTGTCAGAGAATGCTTCTCCACACCTGCTGTCCAAAGTTAGGGCCTCCCTGCACTACTCTGGAAATGCACAAAAGACAAAAATCATGGTGGTGTATCTTTCCATGTTCTAGCAGAAGATTCACTCTCGTTTTGCACATTTCGAGAGTAGTGCAGCGAGTCGCAGGCTGGGTGAATCCCCACCCAGCCTGCGACTCGGATGCTTTCGACAGTCTTCGGCTGCACCATCGACTTCTCTTCAAAATTTGGTGAGTGGGTGTGAGGTCGGGATGGAAGAACGCTTGCATTCACAAGCACGTCCACTCTACAGTGCTGTGTGCCTAAAAAGGGGCAAACTGTGGAAGGGAGGCTGTCAAATTTATTCTGACAGCTGTCAGATTTTTTTGCCTTTCCACAGTGGTGTGGCCAGGCCCTTTAGCGTAAGTGCAGCCACAACTGTGCTGTCCGGCATTTCAAGAGTCAGACAACTCTTGAAAGGCGGTTGAACTTTTTCAGGAGTCTAGTGGAGTGCAGTGAGGCCCAATGTCGGGACATCTTGGAATGGTATGGAGATTTTTTTTTTTTTTTTTTTTTTTTTTTTTTTTTTTTTTTTAACTACACTACATTCTTCTCTCAAATCATTAATCACCTTTCAAATTCTTTCACCGTCATTACCTACCTACCACTACTCCTAAGACTTAGACAGGGGACTCCTGCAAGGATAGCTTTGTTGTCTCCCTCCAGCCATCAGAGGGGATGCATGTTGCTGCGCACCCCACCGCCCCAAAAAAAAAAAAAAAAAACCACGGTGGTCAAGGATGGGGTGGGGTTCCGGCTAAGGCAAAGACAGAGACTTTTTTTTTTTTTTTTTTTTCCCCTTGTTTTGGGACCATTTCTCGGTTTAGGCGTGTCATCCTTGAGCAGGGCCCATGCTAATCTTCTCTGTATCATTCCAATTTTAACGATGTCCCGATTGATGCAGCTCAGTGGTTAATGCGCATTGTGGTATGAGGTTGTGGGTTCAAATCTGCAGCCTTGCACATGGACACCGGCAGCCTGGGCGTTAGAATGACGCACGGCTGGACATACACTATCCTCTGACCACTACATGGTTATGATTACAGACCCTGCCTGTATTGGACATACACGATCCTCTGACCACTACATGGTTATGATTACAGACCCTGCCTGTATTGGTCAGGGGATCAAGTCCCGGGTGTTGTATGCTGGTTCTGGGTTCCGCAGGGCTTGCTCGGGGTGTTGGTCTTGGTCGTTCGATTCTCCTCCCCGGTCTGATATACCACACACAGGTGCTATTTCCGATTGTTGCTCAAACAGTTGAGTCTTCCAGTTACATCTCACAGGTCATGGGTTCTAGCTTGGTCACAGACTTCGGGGGGGTCTGTCCAGTCTGGCCCGTTATTCATGGTATTCTCAACACACATATAGTGCTGACATATGGCCTTCGGCCCCATATATATGATTCATACTGCCTTCGGGTATACAACTGGCTTCCTTATATATACACAGTACACACACATCATAAATAGCCTACATCCATGGCTTCCTGAGCACATACATATGGCCTAAGGGCTTACATGCATCTACAGTTCACTGGGGGAGGGGTAGAATAGACTTAGTCTCTAGGGTATAGAATACGGTAGTTACCCCAGCAGGTCTGAGTTCCACCTAGCCAAGATAGGGGCAAGCGAGGGGAAGGATGGTAGGACTGTCAGTCTGAGTTCCGCCTGGCCTTGGGTAAGCTAGGGGAAGGACGGTAGGCTGTCTGGCTGGGGTACTGACTGCTAGTTAGCTGTCCCCGAAAATAAAACCCAGGGGTCTATGACCTCTACAATAAGGATACGAGGCTGGTAGAATATAGTGGTGCCTAGCGTCCGAAGTTCCCGTACAGCGAGGCCTGTCCGATTTCGCTTCCACTGGGGCTGGGGTAATAGCTAGCCTTTGTGCCTATCACTACGGTAACTGTGTGGTCCAAGTCACCCACCTAGCGGTTGGGTGATGCTCCTGAGTGGGTTACACTGACGTAAGATAGTTGGGTTAGGGGGTACGCTGGGAGTACTGACGAGTGGTAGGGTGGGAGGTGACCTCGTATCTTAGGACTGCGAAAGCTCATCGCTCCGGGTGATCCCTGTGTGCCTGCGGTGGTAATTAGCCTCTACAACATTCTGGCTGGGCCTCCCTTTTCATAGACCCCCAACCCCAACAGAATAACAGCAGTGTCTAAGGCCAACAACACTCTCCCACACACCACACACAATCCATACTCACACTCACACTCACACTCACACGCTAGGCCAAGGACCCTGCTTATACAGATCAGAGGTATCAAGCGTACTATCACCGCTCGTACGGAGAAGATTTGCATCGCCCGATGACACACATAAATCGAGAAATGGTCCAAAAAGAAGAAAAAAGAAAAAAAAAAGTCTGGATCTGGTTTGAGGGGAACAAATTGAGAAAAAGAAGAAGGTAAAAAAGAGAAAGAAAAAGAAAGAGAAGATGACAGGCAGGGGGAGAGGAAGGCCGCAGGGGTTTTGTTTGCCCTGTGTAAGCTAAGGGCCTCGCTGCACTACTCTCGCAATGTGCAAAATGAGACTGAATCCAACGCTGTAACGTGGAAAGATACATTTCCATCTTTTTCATCTTTTGCGCGTGTGGAGAGGAGTGCAGCGAGGCCCTAAGCTGGATGATGATGCTTCCAGCTCCTTTGTTCCTTCGCGCTATTTTTAGCCTCGCTGCAGTACTCTCCCACACGCAAAAGACAAAAATCATGGCCGCCGTGTATCTTTCCATGTTCTAGCGGTCGATTCACTCTCTTTTTGGACGTTTGGAGAGTTACTGTAGTCTCGTTTTTGACATTTGGAGATTTACTGTAGTCTCTTTTTGGACATTTCGAGAGTTTTACTGTAGTCGAGAGAGGCCCATTATTATGAGGTTATACTCCCTGCACTGCCTCTTTTATCAATCAACAATCAACCAAATTAAATCAATCAATGAAAGAATGATGCCAAATTGCCAACTTGAGGAGGGGGGAGAAAAAAGAAAGGAGGCAGCGCAGCGAAGGAGGTGAGGGAGGAGGGAGTCCGACGAGAGGAGCAGTAGAGGTGGAAGTTTACAGAGCTGGTAGAATTTCAAGGCACTGCCAGGTGGAAAGAGACAGGGGAGAGAAGCAGAGCCGTGGAGGTGGCATCGGTAATGTCGAGAAGGCGTGGCTATGGGGGGCAGCTTGGGGGTGCAGGCTTGGTGAAGAAGGGTCAGCTTCGGGATGGAGGCTTGCCAGGCTTGGTGGTTATGATGCAATGCTCAGCTTCGCGGTGCGGCCTGCGTGAAGACAAGCATCATGATCCCCAAAGTGCAGGCTCGGTGAAGACTGCGCGAAGCGTCGTTGAACCGTCGTCGGCTTCGCGGTGCGGGCTCGATGAAGCCTCGGTGAACATGCGTCAGCTTCTGAGGGACAGACAGGCAGGCTTGGCTAACGCGCGTCAGGTGGGGGTTGCAGGCTTGGTTAAGAAGCCTCCGGCTCTCGGGGTGCAGGCTTGGTTAAGAAGCCTCCGGCTCTCGGCGTGCAGGCTTGGTGGTTACAAGCGTCAGCTCCCGGGTGCAGGCTGGGTGAACTCGCGTCAGCTTCTGGGTGACTGCACGGTTAGTTTAGCAAAACTCAGCTAGCTCCTGGGTGCAGGCTTGGTTACAAAGGTCAGGAACAAGGGTCAGGGGTCAGGAAGCAGGGTCAGGAGGGGTCGGTAACAAGGGTCAGGGGGGCAGGAACAAGGGTGCAGGCTTGGTTGGTTAAGAAGGGTCAGGAACAAGGGTCAGGGGTCCAGGCTTGGTTAACAAGCGTCAGCCTTCTGGGGGCAGGGTTAAGTCAGCAAGGGCTGCTGACTGTGAACTTGAAAGAGGTACGTAGTGCGTACTCTGGCAATTCGCTATGATAATCGTGGCTTCGTCTTTTTTTTTTTGTGTGTGTGTTTGGAGGGGGGGGAGGAGTTCACGTATTTCATTTCAAATCCAAGGACAGGGGGGCCGTAATACACCCCACAAGACAACCGGGTACATCACATGCTGGGGCCAATACCCAGCTGTAGGGTCCTGGAAACCGGGTCCAGTGTCCCTTTACTTCCAAAAACAAAAATTCTTGAAAAAAAATAGGGAGGAGGGGGGGGGGAAGAGAGGTACCTCTACCTTAGGCAAAAATCGGCTTAAAAAAAGAGGGGGTATCTTGGCTTCGTCGATCGTCGGTTTTCCTGCCTTTTTTTAATTATTATTATGTTTTTTTTTTTTATATTCAATTTATTGTACTGAAACGGCCCGCCGAGGGTAGTAACCCTGGTGTGATATGAGAACCTCCCGGTATTAACCCCCCTTCCCCCCCCCCAGCGTTCGTGGATCCGGTCTTAGGGCATACTCATACGAGGACCTTTTCCACAAAGCTCTGGAAGTGATTGCACTCAGATCCATCCTGGTATCGCCGTAATTGCAGTCAGATCCATCCTGGTCTCTCCGTAATTGCAGTCAGATGCATTCTGAACGAACAGTGCTAGTGTGAGTACGCCAGCTTATTGATGGAGAGCAAAACACCTGCTTGTGGTATTGTTTTTGTTGTTTTTTTTGTTGTTGTTTTTGAACTTTTTTTTTTTTTTTTTTTTT